GTGTTCTAGCCCCATATTGGGTAGATGCTATGAATTTCTTCGCCAGCATTTGGTCCCGGTTTGAATCCGTAGAAAAAGTTGTACGAGAAATGTTATTCATCTTCATCTTCCGTCGCCGCTTCTTCTTTCGGGTCGCGGAGGCAGACACGTCAGACAGTGCTTCCAACGTTCCCGATCCTGTGCCAGAGTCTGAGCTTTGGCAAAAGACAAATGGAGTCTGGAACAGACTCCTTCCATATGTTTGCACCAGGTCATCTTGGCCGTCCCCTGGGCCTTTTGCCGGTCGGATTTGCAAGGAACAGTTGCTTAGCCTTCCTTTCTGGAGGCCAGAAATGTTATTCATGGTTTGTTTTTCAAGACCTAAAAAATACACGAATTTGAGGCCTGCAATGGTATGGGTTCGTTTTGCAGTGCTTCCAGAAAGGAAAGAGCAGCAGGCACGACATGCTCGGGCGGCGGGACGAAGAACAACGGATGGCGAAGAATGACGCTTGACTACTTTAAGAACGGCTTTGCTTCAGATGTGGGTTTTCTTCTGCTGAAGCTCAGAAACCCTGGAAGAGGATCAAGAACATTGCAGACACTGTCTGATTCTGCTTCCTTCAGAACTCTGAAGGTTAAGTAGAAACTATCTGACTGATGTTTAAACAAATATTTTGCCCGGTTTCCGGATTTTCAAGGAATAATCACATGTTCTTTACCTTCCGGATGTACAATGGACGTTTATATCAGGTTACGTTTCCACTGTAATTAGTTTGAATATATGAGCTTGGTCGAAAAGTGACCTTTCAGCACCAAATGAGAAAATGCCATATGCTACTGTCGTTTATATGCATAAAAATAATCTGCAGCGACTACCAGTGTAGGTTTGCTAATGCCATTAAAACGTGATCCGCTGAAATAGTCTCAATTATTTCAAAGCAAAGGGAAGGTGCAAATACGCCGTGAAAATCTTGATAACTGACAGCGCGTCATTTAAGCAAGCGGTATCAAAAGCTACAATTTTTGGTAATCGTGTCAGAAGAGGGGAGTCATCATTGTTGAACAAATACACGTCATACCAACACATGGATATAAAAGATCAATACTTCGACTTAATTATGAGATAAATGGCTGCATTCAATAACAGATCATGCAATAGGGATGCAAACCCTGGCATAAAAGATTTATCCATTCCGGTTAAATTGATCGAATAAGAACAAAAACATAGATGAGTATTACTAATATCATTGCTACCACACAGGATTGGAAAGGCACTACTATGCGATATAACCTGCCGTTTGACTCCGTGTGGAAAAAGACATCGACTGGGCTGCATACGGATTAGTAAGGATTGTCCGTGGCAAGCTTCCTCTACTTTTAGAAAGGGTTCAGTTTTTTGGTTAATTCATAATTAAATACTTCTCTCTGCTACTGCTGAAAGAAACAGTGCTCAAAAAATTGAAAATCATCACGAATCTGGTTTCGACAGCTTTCGACAAAGCCTTCTACCTTCTATTATGTATCAGCAGTAGTACCGTTAGGTTACGAATGAGCAGCTGACTTTTACTGATCTGAAACAAACTGTCCGAAATGTGAGACATTGGAGTTATGCCTGGCTTGATAAAAAGAATGGAAATACTTTCAAGATTTTGTTCATGTGAGAACCAGCCAACGGCTGAAGGTGCGTTGTGGGATAACGCAAAACCTGGAAATCTTGTTGAGACTGATCTATCGGCGAAGAGTAAAATAACCCTTGAGCAGAAGTTCTTTAATACTAATGTTTTGCATGCTCCCTGAAACTGAAGCCTCATAAATCTGTGCTACTCTGCTGTTAAGTCATTGTTCGATTTGGAGACAACAACTTCGGACTTTTATCAATGCACCATGATTGCTGAAACGAAAACTGCTGTTTCCACGTTCTTCTGTGGTTTGTGACTAGCAGCCATTACTAGTTTCACCTTGGAAATTGACATAGTTCTTTACTACATAGAATGCTGGTTTAGCCAAATTTTGCAAAAAACGATATTGACATCTCATAAATGCATTGACGTGCATGGATCATTGAAGCATTAACACAGCTGAAAAGCAGTCCGAAGCAAAAATATGCAGTTCAGTTCAGCTCAGAAGCAACTGTTCGTAATTTCATCTGATCTAATTTTAAAGCGTGGAAGAGTTAATTTAAAAAATCATTTTTCAGCATATGTAAATTATTGTGTATTGATTGGCCAACAAATAGCAACAAAATTCGAAAATGAAAAATTCAAACAAGTCTATGAATAATTTTCGATTTATGTTTATTTTACGAGAAACAGAACGAAAATAGCCCATAACCGAATCCACGATGCTCAACTTTGGGAATATTACTGTCATGCTGGACGTTAAAATTTTTGGACGACTTGGACGAGTTAAAATTGCTGACGATTTGAAGCGAAGAAAATAACACATCTATAAAGCAACAGGGGCTGTGCCATTTACTGATTATCATATTGAATAAGTAGCTATCAGGTGAGTCGGAGCGAATCGCTGCTCTACGAGGGATTAGCATCAGACAACATTGTCATTCCTCTCGTTGATTTAAGTATATCCGCTCCAGGTCACCACGCTTCATCTGCATTCGCATATTAGCGACTAATCTGCTTACACCAAAGCAACATTAAGTCAATTGCTTGCTTAGGCAAATTAGCAGTTAAGAAAGATTTGAACATTTTTGGGATTCGAATCCGGCACCACTGGAGTTAGACGTACTTGACACTGTGAAACTTTGCTCTGATTTAATCAGTTAAAGTGAAGAACAGGTTGTGTCAAAGCTATAATATAATATTTATTTGAAACATGGAAACATCGCAGTTGCGCTATGCAAACCGAACAAAATAAAACGAACATTATGTCTTTTCTAGCACAATCGAAGGTGTCAATTGTGATAGTCACTCAGGAACATTAAAATTACCTTTGTTGATATATTTGATGAAGAGAGTGGCATTTTAGAGGACGTTAGAACGTAATTTGATCCAATTCATAGACGCTGCTGTGACATTCAGTAAACTGCCTCAGTTCAATTACTGATGGATTGTTGATCTCCTTCAATTGTTCCAGCGGAAAGAGGACCGTGCGCTTAAGCAAAATTCTTCATATAACTGATCATCGATGTGAAAATGCAGCGAAAACATGCCGACCTTCTTCCAACCAGATTTTTAATGTTTTTTGTGTGCGATTGTTTGACAGTAAACTTTGTCTCATCAATTCTAATTCTTCATCAGCCTTCGTCAAACACGACAGATTCAGAGACGCGAATTACTTTGAGTGGGCTACACCACCGTCCCAACCTGCTGGAGACGGCTTGTGTATTTCTTCCAGGCTCTAACTTCAGCGAGGGAGTTTCGGTAAAACAAAATGACCTTCTTGTTGCTCGACTTCTCACCGATATTGGGCTTAAACTTGAATATAACGTAAAAATATTGAAAAGGGCGAAAGGTCCATAATAATCGATGTAAAGCATGGGGGACAAGACGACAACCTTCAAATGGTGCTCCTGTTGCGTATTGCGAAAGTACGCCAAAGCTTAACAATACAACGAATGTGGTCACCTAGCAGCCGAACGTTGCGAGTGCAATCTCTCAGCTCGATTAGCAACAAATCCAACGGTTCTTCTCAGAACCGAACATGTAAAACAGTACGAAATAAATCAAACGTTCCTGATGAAGGCCATAGAAGAAGAAAAGCAAAGAAACCCTACGGTCTTTATGAAAGCCATTGAAGAAGAGTGAAGAAATCCAAAAGTGGTAATGAGGGCCAGAGAAATGAAGCCGTAGGCCATACACTCAGCATATTTCAGCTGAACTTCGAAGGCATTTCCTACTTAAAAGGCGAACTATCAAGGACATTAAAAGAAAACAAGATTAACATCGCCATTCTGCAAGAGACCTAGGTCGATGATGATTACAAAGCAGCCGGATGAAAAATTGCTCGGTTCACTATGGTCGCCAGTACCTGTGACTCCAAATACGGTCTAGCTACATATGCCAGATTAGAC